GGAGGGCTCTTTTTGTAGAAAAAGCCCAGCAGGAACTCATTAGCATAATAGGCCACACCCAACAACAGGAACGTATTAGCCTATTGGGCCACACCCCTGACAGCACAGCTCATTAGCACATTAGACCGCACCCCCATGTTATCAGAAGTGTGGTTATCCAGCCACACCCACCTTTTGCTTGATATTCTGTTTACCTTGTTTGTTGTCAAAACCCAGGGCCTTTTTTTGTAGCAGGAACTCCTTTGCATGTTAGGCCACACACCCCTAATGTAGCCAATCCTAATGAGTTTCTGCTGTTGGGTGTGGCCTATTATGCTAATGAGTTCCTGCTGGGCGTGGCCAACTTGGGAGCCAGCCGGAACTCCATTCCTGTGCGTTCCTGCCCAAAAATAGCCCTGCGTAGGACATAGGTGTGGTGGGTGGTATGGGACACTTCTAGGGTCGCCAGCCTCCAGGTGGGGCCTGGGGATCTCCCACTTTCACAACTGATCTCCAGCTGACAGAGGTCAGCTCCCCTGGAGAAAATGGCTGCTTTGAAGGGTGGACTCTATGGCATTGTACCATGCTGAGGCCCCTCCCCTCCCCAAACCCCGCCCTCTCCCAGATCCACCCCCAAAGTCTCCAAGTATTTTCCAACCCAGACCTGGCAACCCTAGATACTTCTGTGCTTCTTTGTGCATACTGTGTTGGAGAGGGACGTGATCCCCACCTCTTTAGGCAATTCTCCCTTCGCTGTCTGCAGATGCCCTCCACGGAATCCTCCCAGGCCAGCAGCTCCATTCTGCAATGAGGATAATGGTGAGTTGCAATGTAAAGGGATGTGAAGATTGCCGGGGTGGGTGGGGGAAGCTGTTTTCCTACATAAGATTGTACAAGGAGATGAGTGAGTGCGCCCCTCAGAATTGGAAATCAGCTATTGTTTAGGGTGTTTTTCAGAATAAATGAGGGCCTGATAGGAAACAGAGGAGAGAGGGAAGGCAAGGCATACAGGTTGGGCAAGCTGAGGATGTTTGGAAGGCTCAGCCACTGACTTCCCTTTCTCTTGCTCCCTTCTTAGGAAGCATTCCCAGTTATGAGAATGAGGGTGAGTAATAGCAGGAATTGTAGCCCCTGCCCCCCACCTTCCCTCATTCTAGAGCAGTGATGGCGAACCTTTTAGAGACCGAGTGCCCAAACTGCGACCCAAAACTCACTTATTTATCGCAAAGTGCCCACACGGCAATTTAACCTGTATACTGAGGTTCCAGTTATGAGAATGAGGGTGAGTAATAGCAGAAATTGTAGCCCCTGCCCCCCACCTTCCCTCATTCTAGAGCACGCAGCTTGGCTCACCTGCATGAGTTGTCTTTTTTTGTCTCGGCTGTGATGTGCTGTGGGCTGTGCTAGGCAGGCTGGTCTGTGGGGCTTTTCTCTTGTTTGGGTCTAAACATGGTCTTTTGTGGTTCCCTCTGAGTTCTCTTGAGCCTATTAAGACTGTCTGATAAGACTTCTTGGCTTTTCCTGCCTCCAGAGCAACCTTGTGCTACTGACGACGACGAAAACTACGTCCCGGGATACATGTAAGCGTGGGGGAGCAAGAATGTTAATTGGTCAGTGTAACGGAGCATAGCTGAGGGTGAATGATAGCAGATAAGAACATTAGCTGTGCTGGATCTGAGGAATGATACATCTAGGCCTGTTTCCTGTAATGGCCAACCAGTTGCTTCTGGAAGGTCTACAGGCGGCCGATGTGAGGAACCCTGCGGGTGTTGCCTCCCCCAGCTGCTGGCATTCAAAGGAATTCTGCCTCTGAACTTTCAGGTCCCCTTTAGCCATCATGGCTACTTAGACTTCTCAACACTGCCTTGTAGAGGTGCCAACTCCAGGTTGGGGGATTCCTGGAGATTTGGGATAGAATTTGGGGAGGGACCTCAGTGGGGTATTATGTCGGAGAGGCCATCTTCAAAAGTAGCCGTTTCCCCCAAGGGACCTGCTGTCAAGATCAGATGAAATTCTGGGAGGCTGGAGATTCTGCTTCCTGGGCAAATGCCAGGAGACTTCAGCGTGCCTAGAGAGAGTGGAGTTTGGGCAGGATGTGATGTCATTTCTGGGCAACATTTTAGCCTGCCTGACATGCCCAGAAAATGCAGATCGCCACTTTGGGGTCAGGAAGCAATTTTCTCCCGGCTAGTTTGGCCAGGGATCCTGGAGGGTTTCCCCCCTCATCTTCTGGGCATGGAGCAGGGGTCACTGGGAGTGTGGGGGGAGGTAGTTGTGCAGGGGGTTGGACTAGATGACCCTGGAGGTCCCTTCCAACTCTATGATTCTATGAGAGCAACAAATTCTTTGAGCACTACTGTGTGGAGGCCATTTTTTCCTCCTGCGCCTCAGTTCCTTGGAGCTGGGGTGGATAACTCCTTACCCTGGGTGGGCAAATGGGAGACCTACGGCTACTGCCCCCGGAAGGACCTAATTTATCTAGTCCCATTTCAAAGCGTGGCCATCACTACAAGCTCTGGCAGTGAGTTCCACCAGTTAATTTCAACCTTAGAACGACTTCCTTTTTGTCAGGGGCTTTTTGTCACATGCCTTGCAAATCCTGAGTTAGTGGATTTTGGTAAGCAGGGCTGGCCCCTGACCCTGAAGAGCTGCTTCCAGTTCCTGCTGGGCTTTTTCTACAAAAAAATTCCTGCCCTTAAATAAGAAAATAACTCTGAGTTCTCTAGGTTGCAGTAATGTGTGGCTGATAGTCCTTAAATATCTGCCTGACTCTTAGAAATCACTCTGTAGTGCTCTGGAGTTCAGAAATCTGTCTCTGCTGTTTTAATGTTGCTTCCCTCTCTCCTCTCAGCAACGAAATTGAAAAGAATACCTCACGACTTTTTAAAACCGTAGTTCCTAACAATGTTGTCGAAGGCTTTCATTGTAGATTTTCCGGGCTGTATGGCCATGGGTCCTAACCTTTGTGTACTAATGTGCTGCCAAAAGAACAAGAAAAAAAGCGCTCCGGTGGACCTCCAAGCTACTATCCACAAAAGAGGTTGCCTGTTGCATCTCTGTATGATTGTTGTTCTGATTAGAGCAGTGAATCGTACAGCTTCAAGTCAGCTTTTGTCGGGAATTAGTAATTGTGCATCAGGAGAGACTGAGTGATCCGGTCATTACCGAGGCAGAGGCACAATAGTTCCTGTTGCATTTCTGCATGAGTCAGTGCCGGCTACGGCTAGCAAACTGGAGCCCAGTCCAGATAAGAAGCAATCGTGCAAATGGTTTTGCTTTCCCTCTTAAAGATCATGTTAGGGGTTCTCTTTGATAAACCATTGTGAACAGATGCACCAGTGGTGTTTGCAGCCAGAAGCATCTTCAAGTGGGGTGCTGGCTGTTTCCCGTTTGAGGAAGAAACAACTCCACACAGTTATCCCCATGCTTTAACATCCAGACTTGGTTTGCTGTAGTGTGTTGTATGGAGAAAATCTTCAGGAACTGCAGCTGATCCTGAACACGACAGCCGGGTTATTAACTGGGACTTGCTGTGCAGAATGTGTTAATCCAGTGCTCAAAGATCTACACAAGCTTCCAGTCTGTTTCTGGTGTCTATGCATAGTACTGGCTTTAATCAAAGATGCCACGTAGATGCTAAGACTGTCCAAATTAAATGCAGCAGCAGGGGTTTGTGATTGGATCTCCTGGTGTATTGTTCAGCTCCCAAATGCAGCTGTGGGGGGAACCCCCAAGTTGGATTGGGGCTTATTGGAAAGAGCAAATTTAAATCCACTCCTCCATGCAATTTTCCTTGTTGAAACTGGCCTCCCCGGGACACATTTGGCCTCAGTGGGGGGAAATCACAGGCAAAGAGAAAATGTCCTTTAAAAACCTACTAGGCCTATGAGGGTGGGAGTTAAATGTCCTTCCTCAGAGCCATCACACCAATCAAATTTGGGAGCCCTATGGCTGCTCTTGAGACTGATAATTTAGGGGATGCAGTTGCAGGTCCCAAATGTCCCAAAAAGGATCAGTTTGGTGTAGTGGTTAAGTGCGCAGACTCTAATCTGGGAGAACCGGGTTTGATTCCCCACTCCTCCACTTGCACCTGGCTGGATGACCTTGGGCAAGCCGTGGTTCTGATAAGAGCTGTTCTTGAAAAAGAGCAGTTTCTGTCAGAGCTCTCTCAGCCCCACCTACCTCACAGGGTGTCTGTTGAGGGGAGGGGAAGGGAAAGGAGTTTGTAAGCCGCTCTGAGACACCTTTGGGTAGTGAAGGGCGGGGTATGAATCCAATCTCTTCTTCTTCTCCCTTCGGTTAAGAACATCCACTGACTGAGCACCCTCTTCCAGTACTTCTGTGGGTGGCCATCAGTGCGAAGGCCTCTTCTGTTGCAGGGACTGAACTGTGGAACATGCTCCTCAGATCTGTTTGCTAGGCCAAGTCCATCCTATTTGCCAGACCTTCTGGTCTAGGGATGCCAGCCTCCAGGTGGGACCTGGGGATTGCCCAGAATTACAGCTCATCTCCAGACTACAGAGATTAGTTCCCCTGGGGGGGAAACGATGCTTTGGAGGGAGGGGGGACTCTATGGCACTGTAGCCCACTGAGGTCCCTGTCCTCCCCAGGCACCATCCCCAAATCTCCGGGGATTTTCCAACGTGGATCCGGCAACCCTGCCCTCCATCCTCCCCAGTGGCCAGGGGAGACCTGGCGACCCTATTCTAGTCCCAAGTATTATTTGAAAAACAGTGTTTTGCAGTTTCCAGAAGCTTGGGAAAACACTGTCCTGAAACATCCCTGCTTTAATGAAGAGTACACCCCTACACTTTAGGGGCACGCTCAGGAGGAATGGGATATAACCCTCTTGCTGAAGTGAAACAGATCTGGATCTAGTCAGTACCTGATTGAGAGATCTCTTGGCATCCCGGTATACACTGAGTACCAAGATGGAAGAAAGGAAAGATAAGATACAAATGCATTAAGTAAATACTTTCCTCATACTGATCTCCCTGCCCCTGATCTCTGTTGCAGGTTCCATAGGAGATCAGTACGAGAATATGCCTGAGTCTCCAGCGTCCTCACGGCATTCACTCGGTGAGTGAGGAAAGGGGGAGAGGAGGAAGGGACGGCCCAACAAATCAAGATTGCATCAGAAATTAATTGCGGAGGGTGGTGGTGGGGAGTTTTCCAGAGAATCCTGCTATGTAGAATTAGCTATACACGTTTTCTCACACGTCTAACCTGTTGCTCTCTGAAGATCTCTAGAAGGCATTTATTCAGACATGGCCACAGCCTGAGTGGGATCTCCATAGGGGCAAACTAGATGTGACTTGGAAATTCATGCTCTCCTGTTTGTGTTTAAAGTGATGCTCTGTGTGTCTGCATTAAAAAAAAGCAAGTGTGCTCAGGTGAAAGGAGCCAAACCATGCCCTCCCCTCAGAGACAATGAGAGAAGGCCAGGCAGGACATTTGACCTTTCAAGCTCAAAGAGGGCTTTTAGTATAGTTACCTTTTAATTGTTCAGCATCTGAAAGGTTTCCCACCTTGATTTTATGCACATCCCTATTGGACCAAAATGTGACATGTACATACTGCTTATTTTTATTATACTGAGGGGCTGTTTAATTTGTTGGGGCAGACCTTTCACTTTTTAAAAGAAGCCTCCTTATTTTTGATAGCTTCCTTGACTTGCGTTGTTAACCACACAGACCTTCTTTTAGACTTGGCAGTGCCTTTCCTATCCTGTGGAACGCATCCTCTAGGGTATCTGACTGTCTTGGTTTTCCCCTTCAGCTTCCTTTTAACTTTTCTCATTATTTTTGTAAAGTTTCCTCCGTTCAGAACAAATGTTACAGTTTTGGACTTTAGTGGTAACTTTCCATTGACCTGAATGCTGAACTTAAAAGCATTGTGGTCACTTATTAAGCTTTTGACTATTTACTATGCAATATTGACTCTGCAGTGAAGGTGAGGAACAGGAATTGCTGATTTGCCTCAGTGTGACTCTCTCTCTTCTTGCCTCTTACTACAGGAGAATATGTCAATGTGCTTGAACCAGATCCCACCATCCTAGACCTTTGTGTTGGTGAGTGAAGGGGAAACCTTCAGTACAAGGGTGGGGAAAGAGTTTTTTTTTCCGTATCATCTCCACCACTGAAAGTGCCCCCCCCAGCACTATGCAATTTTGTTGTCTTCCAGAAGGTGGCAATAGTGACCTGGAAAGTGAAGATGACACTCCAGACTATGAGAACATCATCTGCCCTAGAGTTTGAGGTACTTGGACTCTAGGAAATGGGGTTGAAAAGAGCTTAAGACACAACAAGGCACTGTAGTTAAAGCCAGCAATTGGCCCATGGTGAGAGAAATGAGAAGAATTCAAATTGTATGGATCAGGGGTCATTTAGTAGAAAAAGAGGTGCAGGCGCTCATTAGCATAACTCATTAGCATAACTTATTTGCATATGCTACACCCCCTGACATCACCGGATGTGTGTCAGAAGGCAATACCCACCGCTCAGGCTCCACTGGACTGTTTTGGATTGCTAGCTATTGGGGGGGGGGACATGCAGATCTGTCCTCGCAGAGGAGGGAGAGCTTGTACCTGAATAAAACTTGGTCTTAAAGGTGCCACTGGACTGTTTTGGACGGGGGGGGTGGGGCTCTGCAACTTACCTGGCTTCTTCTTGCTCTGACTGAGGGCTGCTGGGAGCAGGGGGTGGTGGGGCTTGTTGCATGTGCCCCCCCCCCAGGCTCTTTACTGCCGGAGCTCCGCTCCTGTGCACTCCTGCAGGAAATGATCCCTGGTATGGATAGTCATAACTCTCTTGTTTTTCCCTCCTTAGGCTGGAAAGCTAATTCCGAAGCAGTATTCTTTAGTGACTCCGATTGCCTCCATGTGGGATGGATTGCGGATGATCTTGTTAAGCTGAGGACACCCCACCCACCCCCAATCAGTTGCCCGAATGCTGCCATAACTTATTGTCCTTCTTTGCACTTTGGTTGACAAATCCTGAGAATTCCCCACAATCTTTTGGTGTCTCCCCATCCAAGCTCAGCGGCTTGACTGTCAAAGTGGGGTCTGACTTCCTCACTAAAGCAATCTGAGTCATGTTTCTCTTAGCGATGAATAAAGAACCAGGAGTTCTACCGTCCTTGTGTTTTGGTGAAGATTGGGGATGGGGGTTTGGTTGAGCAGATAAGTAGCAACAGTTTGTATGGTGGGCAGATGGGTAAGTCTTAGTAATCATTAAAGGTTGGATCTTCAGTTTTGGTTTCTGCTGAAAGTAGAAATTAGCGTGTGGGGGGAAATGCAATTCCAACATGTTTACGGAAAACGGTGTTCATATTTTGATTCAAAAGATTTCCCCTCTCCCCACACACCCCTTCTGGATATGGCCACACGTGCTGGAATTTCCAGTGGGAAAAGTCACCCTTCTTCCCTTACAAAATGCTCCCTCTAAGCTGTGGAGTCTTGTGAGCAAAAATTCTACTCTGTGAGCTACTGCCATTAAAGTTGTGAGGGAGCAATCTGGCTACTGCATAAATTAGTTTGCTCTGGAGCCCTCCTTCCTGAGCTAAGACAAAAATGTGTGAGCTGGAGGCTAAAAAGCTGTGAGCTCAGAGGGAACATGTCAGCTGTTGAGACACACCATTAGGTTTCCTTCACGATAGGCATCTATTTCCCTTTTTCAGTGACAGTCACCTCGAGAGGTGATGTCTGCTGGCCAAATGACATGTGGGAGGGTGGACAGCAGTTAATTCCCTCCTTCACAGCTTTTCATTTATTTAGATATCTATACCCTGTTTTCTGCCCAGTGGGGGGACCCAAGGCATCTTTCCTCATTCTTTTCTCCTCTGTTTTAGCCTTACAACAACCCTGGTTGGGTCTGTAAGGCTGAGATTGGCCCAAAAGCACTCAGTGAGCTTTGGTGGCACAGTGGAAATTGCAACTGGAGTCTTCCACATCCTAGGCTGCCTCTAACCACTGCCTGATGTGCTTGCTTTTTACCAGTATAGAAAGCACCATAAGATCTGGTCACAAATCTACAAGAACTTGTACAAGTACTTAGAAGGGAGACTTCCAAGGAATACCAGGGCTGGGATGCAGAGGCAGGCAATAGCAAGCCCCCTCTCTGAAACATCCAAGCCCCACTAGGGGTCACCAGAAATCAACCATGACTTCCAGGCGCACACATTCCCTACAAAAGAGCAAAGTTTAAGTCCTAGTGGCAGCTTTAAGACCAACAATGGTATGTTTTAGTTGAGCTATCCTGTAGGGACATACCAAACCAGGTGAGAATAACTAGTTATAAGGCATGAAGATTACAGGGGAGAAACATGCTGGGAGGGAAATATTGAATGGCCAAGGGCTTTTGGGGTGCTTTAGGCTTTAAGACGCTGAACTGCAGGCTGTGGAAGGTCTGTAGTTCAGCAGTTCGAAACCCGAGTTGCCGCATGAAGGAGTGAGCTCCCGTCTCTAGTTCCAGCTCCTGCCAACCTAGCAGTTCGAAAGCAAGAAATTGCAAGTAGATAAATAGGTACCACTTCAGTGGAAAGGTAACAGCATTCCGTGCGCCTTGGTGTTCAGTCACGCTGGCCACATGATCACGAAAACGTCTTCGGACAGCGCTGGCTCTTCGGCTTTGAAACGGAGATGAGCACCGCAGCCCTAGAGTCGGATTCGACTGGCTTTCGAGCAAGGGAACCTTTACCTTTACTAGGCTTTGGGGTGGGAAGGGTGGGGAATCATTAGGCAAAGGGAATCAGAGAATCATTAGGCAACTTTATGTTGCCAACTCTGGATTGGGAAATATGTGGAGATTTGGGGGGGGGGGGGGGCTGGGGAGGGATGGGACCTCAGCAGGGTATAAAGTGAGGTATAATTCCACAGCATCCACCCTCCAAAGCAGCCGTTTTCTCTAGGGGAACTGATCTCTGTTGCCTGGAGATGAGTTCTAATTCCGGGAGATGGATGGGCGCACCTGGAGGCTGGCGACCCTGGGGTGGAGGTTATTCTAATGCAGGGGAGCGGTGGCAGTAATGCAGCTAGTGAACTTTGGGTTCGTCGGCTTCCCCGGTTATGCTAGGAGAGCCCTCCAATGGCGACCCAGCCCAACAGGGCGCCCTGGTGAAAGTACTGCAAAAGAGAACAATAAGGTAACGGTGGCCGCAGTTCCACATTCGTCACAGCCAGGGCTATTTTTGGGCAGGAACACACAGGAACGGAGTTCCGGCTGGCTCCTGAGTTGGCCACGCCCAGCAGGAACTCATTAGCATAATAGGCCACACCCAACAGCAGAAACTCATTAGGATTGGCTACATTAGGGGTGTGTGGCCTAAAGGAGTTCCTGCTACAGAAAAAGGCCCTGGGTTTTGACAACAAACAAGGTAAACAGAATAACAAGCAAAAAGTGGGTGTGGCTGGATTACCACACTTCTGGTAACATGGGGGTGCGGCCTAATGTGCTAATAAGCTGTGCTGTCAGGGGTATGGTGTAATATGCTAATGAGTTCCTGCTGTTGGGTATGGCCTAATATGCTAATGAGTTCCTGCTGGGCTTTTTCTACAAAAAGAGCCCTGTGACACTCGCAGCGATGATAAACCTGTTCCCTGCTTGATTATTTCGACGCTGGCCTGATTCACCGCCCCCGTGTTCCGTTTGAGCACCGATTCTGCGCCGCACGTCTCCGTGTAGACCGGCCACGCAGGGAAGCCCTCGTTCGCTTTAAGAGCCCCCACCTCCAGCCCCCGGACTTCGGCCGAGCCGTCGTTGCCCTTAGAAATCCCCGAGGCTGCAGCAGGGGGATGGGAAAGAGGGGTGTGTCGGGGGAGGGCAGACGACTGGAGGGGACGGGGAAGAAAACAGCCGCCCTCCTGCCACCAGATCGGCACCACCGCCATGGCAGTCCCGTAAGCTTCTGCGCGCTTCCTTCCCTTGCAAAAAACAAAAGCCCCACGAAATAACCCTGACACCCCCCCACCCCGTGGGCTTCCAGCACCGGCCCTGAAAACCTGGGGAAGTATTCGCGGGCCATTTCCCGGATATATCTAATACACGCGCCCCCGGATGGATTATAACCAGAACTCATTTCATAAAACGGACCACCTAAACTTTGTTGCGCGAGTGTCGGCTACCGTAATACATGTAATATACGGGGGGGGGCGGGGAGTGGCGTGGTCTGCTCTGGTATCTTCAGCAGAAACTTTTGGTCTCTAGGCCAGGAGAGGCGCGTGATGACGTCTCCAGAGCACGGAGCCTTTAAAGACATAAGACTCTAGTTGTTTTTAAAGTTAGCAACCGCAGCATGGGCTGGAGAGAAACAAAAAAAAGGGGGGGGGAGAGAGACATTCTCTAGAGGGGAACTGATGTCATGGTGTGTTTTTTAACAGCTATGTTGAAAAACATGGTGTGTTTTTTAACAGCTGCATGACAGGTGGAAATTCAAATGGTGTGGCTTTTCCCAGCATGCAGTGATGGGGGATAGTTCTGGTCTATCCTGTGAGTTGTTAAAAGCACGAGTCCGGGGTGGGGTGGGGGAGGAGATTAGTTGTAAAGGTTTGGGATTTTTTATTCTTTTTTTTTTTGGCCCAGTTGTACTTTGACGCTGCGTTCACACATCCACATTCTCTACTTTTGAAGTACACATTAAACCATTTCTCTGCTCTCATCAATTACCCCCAGTGTGACGCGTCCACGCATCCCAGCACTCTTCGCAAAAAAAGAATGATAATTACTAACAGCTTTATCTTGCCTTTCTTCAAGAAATTCATGATGTATACTTTTCAGGTCATGTGGTGTAGCTGCTTGTCTTGGATCAGGCCCTGTTTGTGTCCACATACTGAAGTGTGTCCATCTGTAGTGATCCACTTTGAAAAAAGGAGAAGCAGCAATCAGAAGAGGGCGGGGAAACCTGCCTCTTTTTTTATCTCAAAGCCCTCCTCTTAATCCTAAATAGATTGGGACTTGGGGAACGAAAGGCATTCATTACAGATTCTGGAGCATTTCTGTTTATTAACAACATAAGAAGAGCCCCGCTGGATCAGACCAGTGGTCCATCTAGTCCAGTACCGTCTCACACAGTGGCCAACCAGTTACTCTGGAGGGCCAACAACCGGGCATAGGGGCTGAGGAGGCCTTCCCTGATGTTGCCTCCTGGCACAAGGATTCAGCGGTTTTCTGCAATTACCTTGCCTGGCCTATAGATAATAATAATAATAATAATAATAATAATAATAATAATAATAATAATAATAATAATAATAATAATAATACTTTCCATTTATTAATCGCTTTCCCCAGTGGGCTCAAAGCGATGTACAGTTACTCCATATATAGACAAGGGACTAACAATGTTCGTAGGGGATAGGGAAGACAACATATATTGACTTTAACTGCATGCTCCGTCACTGCCCGGTGTAGACGTCTTCTGGCTGGCTCCGTCATTTTCCCGCATGGCTGCTTGCTGGCCAGGCCTCAGGACCCGTATGTCAATTGCCACACTGCCACCGCCTGGCCGGAACATCCATTGCAGGCGTTCTTTTTCGTAGCCGGGAAGCTGTTTTGCCTTTTACAAGCCTTGACCAGGCGTCCGACCGTCAGCTAACGCCCTCCCAGAAGGGAGGTTGGCGTGCCCACCCTCGCTAAGGAGTGATTCCCATTTTATCTACTCGCCGAAGCTTTCGAATTGCTGGGCTTGAAGCACTTACAGTTAAGACCCATATACTTAGCTGGACCCCAACAAATTAGGAATACATGTCCCTAAATCCCAAACCACTGATGTGCCCAAGACCCTGTGATTTTCATGTCTCTGTGTAGGGATATTTAACTGTCACTCATTTCCCATGCATAGTCCAGTGGTTATATGGGTGTGTGTGTGTCAAAGTTTCCCAGCATTCTAAGCACTACAATTGTGCTAATATTGTTGGCACCTATCAGCCAATCAGACCTTCAGGTGGCATGGCTCCTCCCCCTTTGTTGTATTTTATTTTATTATTTTGTTCATTTTATTTTATGCTATTCCCAACATCTATACCCTGCTTTTCCGCCCAGGGAG